TTTACCCTACTTTATCATCCTATTAGGCCGCGTGAATAAAAATGAGCTATAGCTTTTACTCGATAATTGAATAACTATACGTGAACAAAAACTTGAATAGTTTTGCTCAAGTTTTTATTCACGTAAAGCTGAACAATTAATTAGCAAATTGCTTAACTTTACATGAATTAAAATTTGAGCGAACTGCTGAAGTTTTTATTTATGTAAAGTTGACTAACTATTGAGTAAAAGCACTTGCTCATTTTTATTCACCGGCCTAAATATTAAGTAATTGTAACTTTATATTTTTTTTAAAATAATAATTAAGTTGATATAAATGATTTATTTAAAAAAATTTTGGATCATGTTTTTAATAAAAAACATTTTATTTAAACTCTCTTACTGTGTTCAAAAAAGTTTAGTTCGCCGCGTGGCAATCTTTTTTTTTAAAGTTATTTTTGATTTTTAAAATGCAAAACAAAACAATTTCATAATCCTCTTTTAAATGTGTTTTATTATGTATTTTTATAAAATCAATGAAAGATATAATAAAAGAAAGGGTTCCGACGATAGAATATTGATTCATACTTTAGAAATGTTTAAAATTATTTTAAAAACAAAAGACTTTATAAAACGGAAATAAATGCTATAGATCAAAATTAAAAAGATACTGTTGCAATGTAAGTAAAACTGTAAAACTTGATATTACATTAATAATAAAAATACACTAAACATACAGTTTCATTCAAAGATACACCTTTGTCTAAAGATACATCTTCGTTCACGATTTTTTTTATAAAACAAAGTTGCTGCTAATCTATATTAATCTTTATAGCAGCAACTTTATTTTTTTATAAAACAAAGTTGCTGCTAATCTTTCGCCATTACCTCGGTTGCAATGGCTGCCAAGAGATCTGAGTCAAATAGGCTAACAATGAGTTCAGTATTATTAAATAGATTATATCGATAACCCTGGTTGATTAAACGAATGATGACAGTAAAAAATAAACAACTACAAAGTAAGCAAAACAAATCATCATGCCATTAATGAAATAAAGAACAAGCAATAGTTGACCTAAACTAGCTAATTATGTAACTTAAGACATATATTAGATAGTTACTGGAAAAAAAAAGGAATAATAATAAACTTTTAAGTTTTTAACTAAAACATAAAGTACATAAACAAATCAACAATAAAAAAAAAAAAAAATTACTTATTTATGTATATTGATTGAAATTAAATAATAAATTATGTGTTTTTATGTGCCTTGGTTTGTGTGTTTACGGTCTATGTGTTACACACAGTGATTCAATACTTATTAAAACTTCGGATTTTATTATGCGCATGCGGTAGCTCCAAATAATAAATATTATTATTTTGATTAACCGTATCAAGCTTTCATTAAACAATGCTTACCAATTTGCTTGTTTTGCTTGTTGTTGTTTTTTTTGTTCTTGGTTAACTATATTTTGTGAAATTAAGCGAAACCGGTCATAAAATAACTTGGTTAAGTATAAGATTTAATAGATTTTGAAGTAGTAAGCTTCAATGTGACTAACAAGCTTTGTTTTTAGCTAAAATAACAATTTATATTCATTTATATTATAGAAGAAAAAAAAAATTTGTACGATTTCGGTAAGTTTTTAATAATATTCCTCCTTTTTATCTTTTTAAAATACACTGTCCCTTTTACCAGTCATTTTTTTATAAAAAAGTATAATGTTTTTGAATAGGACAGTTTTTATGAAAGTAACTCTGTAAAATATAGCGATAATCACCAACATAAAATTATATAGAATATATGTAGAATATATGGAAACCTTTCAGGAAAAGACAGTTTAAAAAATGAAAGTAAAATTGATCGAACTTATAAAGCTTTTGGAATAAATGTATCAGGAGATTCTCAGTGTACTTATCCAGAAAAATGTGCATGAAGTGTTATACTTCTCTTAGAAACATTGAAAATAGAGGGAAAAAAGTTTTTTATATAGAGGATTTTTTATATAGAGGATAAAGTTTTTTATATAGAGGATAGCATTTAAAATAGAGGGAAAAAAGCTCCAAAAAATTGGGTATAATGTCTAACAATCGAGTGTAAATGTATTTTTGGTATTCCTGGTCGAAAACCTCTCTCTAATGTTGGGCGACCAGGAAAGGTTAAAAATGGACTCAGTTTATATGTTTCATATGTTTCAAAAAATATTGGTATACTATTCAAAGCCAAGCAGTTTTTAAACCAAAACTGCCTAAAAAATTTATATTTCTCCATCATACATTGTTATATAAACTATGCAAATATTGCCTGGTGCAGCTCTAATATAAGTAAAAATAAAAATCTGCCTAGTAAACAAAAACATGCTGTCAGAATTATTTCAAATGCAGGTCGATTCACACATACTAAAGAACTATTTAATAATCTTCACATACTCAATTTTTTTCAGTTAAACCTTTATCAAATTCTTATTTTTATGTACAAACTTTATAATAAAATATCACCTACAATATTTAGTACACTTTTCAATAAAATTAATCACATATACCCTACAAAATTTTTTAAGTACAATTATGAGCAACCAAAAATGCATTATTTGGCTACCAAATTTCTATTGCTATAAGAGGTCCTAAATTATGGAACGCTTTATTAAGTGACGAGTTGAAAAATTGTTCTTCTCTTTACCTATTTAAAAAAAAATTGAAACAAAAACTTATTAACGATGTTAATGAATTAAATTCTTTTAAAAAAATTTTTATTTTTATTTTTTCTTTATTTTTAACAATTATCTTATTAACTATCAGTTAATAAGATAATTGTTAACTATCAGTTAATAAGATAATTGTTAAAAATAAAACTATAGATAAGCTAATAGGATAGTTTATTATAAATAAACTATCCTATTAGCTTATCTATAGTTTTGATTTTTTTTTTTTTTTTTTTTTTAATTTCTTTTTACTATTTTCTTTTGATTATAGATTAGTAACTAGTCTTAACATACTTGTAAATAATTGTATATAATTTTTTAAATGGCACAAAATAATTGTATATTTAACTTTTAATAGTTGCACACGCTTGCTTATGAAAGCACGTCGGGGTGTAGTGATAAGGCAAGTATTGTCTTCTTTTAACCCCGGTCATGTAGATCTTACTTATATTACACGGCATTGTATTCTTTTTTTTTACTGACAAAATAAATTAAAAAAAAAAATTTTTTTTAAATCATTTCTTGGTTCATTGCCTATAGAAGAAAATAAAGAAAATTTAACAGAAATAAACCATGAACTAAATCCACATATAACTTTATGCATATGAGTACGATTTATGCGTACGATTTGAGGGGAAATTATGCGTACGATTTGAGGGGAAATTATGAATCAGCCTGTCATGCTAAAGAACTGTCAACACTCATTCTGTAGTTTGTGCATTTTATCAAATGTTAAAGATAAATTAGAAACCGATTCTTATTGTCCATTATCATTAGAATTGAAATCAGTCTAATTTTTTTTTCTTTATTTTAAATATGACTAATAGAAAATCAAATAAAATTTTATATTTGTTATTTGAAGTAATATTTTGTTTAATTTACAGCCACTCTGTTTTGTTTCTGCTCCCAAAGCTTATAAGAAAGCGCAAACTGTTGTAATAGCTCTGTAAGAAAATTACAAAATTTATTAATGGAGCGATTTACCAATACAGCTGATAGTTCGCAGGATTCTAAAGTATGTCAAACCGCTGTAATGTTAAAGTCATATAATAATGATGAAGCAAATAAAATTTTAAAAAAAGCCAATATTGGAACCGTTAACTTAAATGCAGAGAAAATGGTTGCTTTAAAAGCTGATATAGGTATTCCATGGAATAAATTAAAAACTATGGCTATGTAAAATTAAAACTTGAAACTGAAAATACTGTAGTTTCAATTTTTCAATTTTAAAAGTTATTTATAATTGATTATTTATATAATAAAACATTGTTTTTATGTAATATTGTAAGTGGTTGAATTCGAAAAATATTATTACTGCTTCAAACAAAAAATAAAGAGTTATTGCAAAGGAATGGGCTGGAAATGATTTAGTTGTTTTAGATGGCCCATTCACATTTCAAAATAACAGTAATAATGCTGTTTTTGAAATTAAACTAGCTCCTTGGGCATATATCAACGACCTACCGCAAAATATAAAAAACCAATTAAATCTTCTGGAAAAGTAATACCTTTATTTTAGATTTCTAAATCACTAGAAAAATAAAAGTTATAAATAATATAATATATTGTATATAAAAATAATATAATATATATAATAATATGTATATAATATATATATATATATATATATATATACATATATATATATATATATATATATATATATATATATATATATATATATATATATATATATATATATATATATATAATATATATATATATATATATATATATATATATATATATATATATATATATGTATATATATATATATATATATATATATATATATATATATATATATATATATATATATATATATATATATATATATATATATATATATATATATATGTAATACCTTTATTTTAGATTTCTAAATCACTAGAAAAATAAAAGTTATAAATAATATAATATATTGTATATAAAAATAATATAATATATATAATAATATGTATATAATATATATATATATATACATATATATATATATATATATATATATATATATATATATATATATATATATATATATATATATATATAATATATATATATATATATATATATGTATATACATTTATATATATTTGTATATAAAATATATATATATTAGGTATGTGGATTGAAAATTTTAAATTGATCAAAGGTTAGATTGTTATATATCATTAGAAAGTGCTTCAATACAGTATTTCAAAGGTGAAAAAATTATTAAAATCGGACTATTGTACAAAAAGTTATGACGTTTTTAGTCGCAAATTTTTGATATATGGATTTGTTGAAGAAACTGTGGTCAAAATTTAATTTTTCTTTACTTAAATTGTTATAACTTTGTCAATTCTTGTCTAAATACCTATAACTTAATATCAAAAGATAGGTGTAACTGTGGGCTACAAATTTATAACATCGTCCACCTATTAAGCGTTTCCTGGGGGCTAGAGGGGGTGCCGAACCACCACCTTTACCCTAAAAATAAGCATATTTCTTACAATAAAAAGTGTTTTTTTTCAACTAACGGTTATTTTTTTTATACAAAAAATTGCTATAATTTTATTACAGACCATCAATGATTGATGTTTATTAAAGTTGGTGGTGGATATGGTGGTGATGGTTTAACACACCCTAATTTCAAAAATATTTAATTCTCTAATTATAAATAAATAAATATTTCTATATTTAATAAAATAAGTGAAACTAGTATACAGTATAAAAAACATAAAAATTTTTTTTGCTACAAGAAATTCATTTATTGGTGGTGTGCTTATTGACTTGTGGGAGGGGCGTGTGCCCCCCCCAACCTAAAAAAATAAATAAGTAAAATAAATAAATCTTTATAATAACAATTATAATTATTTTAAAATAAGTTAACAATTTAAAACCTGAATTAGGCTTTTTGCACCAAGTATAACCTACAAGCTAAAGATAAAGACCACAACTGAGCCTACTTTTGAAAAAAAAGTCTTTCCGCTGCTATTCGTAAATTTTGGTTAAGTTGAGAAGTTTGTTAAATAGGGTGGTAATGGTTACCCACAACCTACAATAAAAAGATGTTGAATTCTTAAAAATAATTGTATCTTTAGCAAACAAAATAAATTAGTATATTTCATTTTTTGATATTTCATTAAATATATTTTATTTCATTACCAAATATATCAGTGTTGTATCCTATAAAAAAATGTAACAATCAATTTTATATTGTTCTGTATTAAAACATTTTAGATATCCTAAGTTTAAATAGTTGTCTTAGCTTTTAGTAAATAATTAAAATAGTCAATTTCATAAATGGAACACTATAATAATCATTTGTAACAATAGACACCATGTGAAGATAAGCCAGAGCTGCCTATCAAAATATTTTGCAAGTCACAACACTTGTGCAAAGGTCATTCCAAGTCAAATACTTTTATTCTTCTCTAAAAACATTTATAAAAAAAAGTAAAACAAAAACATATGGTTTAATACCAGGCATACCTGACTTGATATGACTACTTCTTCAAGTTATATTACTTACAATACCTTTATACAAGTTTCATCATATGCCGTATCTGTTTTATTAAGTTTTATCACTTGCAGTATCTATTTTTAAAGCTTCATTACAAGTAATATCATAAGTTGTTACATATTACACTTCAAAAAAAAATCAACTCTCCTAGTCCAACATCAGCGGAAGCTGATATTTTTTCATGTTGTAGTCAACAGCTTCAGTATCAGTATTACCTTTATTCCAGTAAGAAATTGTGCAAACTTTGTCTTGTTTTGTTTTATCAAGTTTTTCTTCTCTACCATCATACATGACATACTTCGAATACTTACTATTGTACCATTCATGGCAAAGTTTTTGCCCAACAATTCTATCTGACATTACATCATCTTAGTCATGGCGTTGTTTGATAGACAATGTATTTAAACACTTTATTTCATTGTAAAAGAGTTCAAGCAACTGTTATTTTAACTTTCTTTTGTCTTTTTCATCCATTTTTTGGCATTTGCATACATGTTTTTTTGAAATATCTGCTCATATATCATTATGCTTCATTTGATTTATCATCTCTTTTTATGGGTTTCTGAATAGATCACATAACTATATTTTTATGGGTTTCTGAATAGACCACATAACTATAATTTTATGGGTTTCTGAATCAACCACATAACTATATTTTTATGGGTTTCTGAATCGACCACATAACTACATTTTTATGGGTTTCTGAATCGACCACATAACTATATTTTCTCTAGATAATTGATCTAAACTTTCTAGGTAATTTAATTTGTATGAAACATAACAAACTGTTGCATTAGGTGATCTTTCTTCAGCCTCACTAAACATTCCCATTAACTCTTCACTATTTATATCGTGCTGCCTTGCACATGCTACTTCCTCCTTGAGAGTCTGGTTAATAGAAAGTGAGAAATATCTCTTACATTGATGAGTTATGACGTCTCCTACTGCAATAAGACAAGCAAAAGTCATATTGATAAAGTGTTCATCAATCAAACAAAACATTTTTTATTGGATTTAAAATATTTGGTTCAAGGTCATTTTAAAAAGTGAACCTGGATTTGATTTAGAATCTGCAATTTTTAGTAAAATATTTTTTAATACCAGGATTCCACTATAATGGTCAAAATTTGCCTCCTCAACAGTCACACAAAATTTTGTCATCCAGGCTGGAAACTGGATGACAAAGTTTTATGTGACTTTGAGGAGGTGGTTTTCCAAATAATGCAAGCACACATTTTTGCTTTAGAGCTGTTTTGTTACAAAATACTGCTCCAAGAACTTTTTGTATAGTTCTGCATATTACTGTTCCAATGGTTAAAACACTCTTGCCAAATAATGCTCAAACTCATTAAATGTTTTATAAAAATAAAACAAGTATGAAAATAAATATGAAGACGATTTCCTCGATACCTTGGAATGATACCTTGTGGTAGTTTTTGATCATCTAAAAACTAACAAATCTTTTTGAATCACCTTTGCCATGTTTAAACCTCAACTTGTTCATAGCCAAAACTATTTTAAATGCGATACAATCATACCCAGCCACGAGGTAGCAATTATATCAAGAGTGTGTAAATGGCAGTTTAGCTCATTCAAACTTTCCCCTTAAATGTCACACAGTTTGCTTATGGTAAGATGGTTAATTGCAACTTTGGCTGACATTACGATTGATATATTTGAGATGATTGATTGATCACTATCATTAAAAGATGCTAAATGAAAATCTAAATAAAAGTTACATGATCAACTGCTTTACATATATGCAAGCAAATATTTGTAACTAGCTATAAGCATTTTATTTGCCTTAATATTATGTACAACTTTAACTTATTTTAGCTTTTAAAGTTCTGAAATTTTCATTGCTTTTTTTTAAGCTTTAAGATTGCATATTATCTCACTGTAATAATATGTCTGCAAATTTTGTTTAAGATCTCTAAGTTCAGCTCTTAAAACTTTAACAATTTGTTTCTTTTATGTAATTTTTGTCTCAGTACTTTCAACTTGTATGCCATGCTTTTTAATTTTGCCGTCTTTATTACTAATTTATTTCAATACTTGCTGGATGTAACAGCAAGCTGAGAAGTTAAATAGGACAATCTGGTATTCAAACCTTTTTTTTCTAGGGCTTATTTCTCCTCTTGATTCATGCCTATTCATTGTTAACAGAATGTTTGGAAAATAAAGGCTTGTGATTTAGTGGTGATAAATTACTTATGTGCTCAAGTGGTGAATTATCTAAACTACTTAAAACAGTAGTAAGAGAACTACTTGGAGGGACATGATGATAGAAAGATGGGCAAAATTTTTGCAATGCATATACAGGGTTCATTACAAAATTCCTTAAAACGAAACTACTCCCTTGTAAAGTTGCAAAACCAACTTTTGCATCTTTTCAAAACCCTAAAGAAATGAGGTTTACAAATGTTTAAACTAAATAATAGTTATAACAAATGACTTGATACTGTTAATGAATAAAAAAGATACATATCTATTTTTACAACAACTGCAAGTTTTGGCAGATAAAAAGAAGTGTGTATTTAAATACTCTTTAACTTTACTAAGAACAAAAATTAAAGTTGCTTATTGTGCCTATTGCTGGGGCACAAAAAGCAACTTTATTTACAAAAAAAAAAATGTAAAGAAAGTCTCGAAATAACTACCAAATAATGATACAACATTAAATTATAAAAAAAATTTTACTTTTCTTATTAAAAACATTTTTAATAATACTGTATTATTGCGTAATTAAAAAATACTATTTATACACACAGACAAAAATGCTAATGTATACTGACATCATAAAACATGTGATAATATAAAGAGTTTTTAAAATACCATCATACCTATAGCTAGAATTATAGTAATCAACGCTTATGTTTTCAATTTCAATGAAACAAATAAAATTTTAGAAACTATAAACAAG